AATGCGTGCACGCTCCCTGAAGTAATTCACACCAGACACAGGTTCCAGGTTGTTGAATAACTTGAGGAATGTTTATTCAGGGGGGACGGCAGGTCCCTTTTAAAGCAAAATTACATCATAAGCATTGTCAGAGATAACATAGAATAATACATAAATTATTGGTTAGGTGTTAAGTGGTTGCTCAAATGCTCTGCCTACTATAGGTGATGTCACCGGGGCCATGAGGGTCTCCCACGGTTTCCCGGCACCATCTTGTTGCACGAGGTAGTTAGTTGGTGTTATGAAGGGAGGGAGGGGGGAAGAGGGTGGAGAGGCTAGAAGCTTCTAGCAGCCATTTTGATTAAACATGTGTGCTTAACTCTATAACATATTGTGAAATGAGTAAATAGACATTTTCTCTTAACTAGGAAATATGTGTAGACCTTATTTCCACAACACAGACATACACTGACAGACATGCACACACACAAAATGTACACTTTTAAACCCACCTCCCATTTCATACCTTGGATGGTGACTTCCCTGGTGTCCAGAGTCGTGGCTGAGGCTGTTGGGGGCTAGCGCCTGGCTCTACCGGCCCAGCCCCGTCCTCTCTGCCTCATTGGTGTATCCAGTGCGGCTCTCTGTTCTCTGTGGGAGGAAGTGACTCGCGGCTGTCACTTCCTCCTAGCCGGCTGCCGAAAAGCAAGGGGCCCTTTAACAGCGCGACCGGGTCCTTGCTTAGAAATGCCCACCTGGTGTCCCTTAGTGCATGGGCCACCCTGTGGGCCTTCTTTAGTGTGCGCATGGGGAAAAATAAATTGTTGAGGACAGCGGGACCCACAGGGCAGCTGCTTTGGGCCCCCCAGGAGTAACTAGGCCCAGGGCAGCTGCCCATTTGCCCCGTGTTAAAGACAGCCCTATTTACTTGGGAGAAAGGGACACATGCCACCAGCATATGTAAGTTAGCAGTATGCACAGTATTCAAGCATCACTTATACAGCAGCCACCCCCTAAATTATGCAGAAGGCAGTGTTTTGTTTGAGCGAATGTGCATTGTATTCTCTACCTGTGAACATGGCATTGTCTTGTATAATTACAGTTATACTCAACCTCTAATGTTCTGTATTAGAGCTGCAGTGATTTTTTACCAATTGGTGAAGTTATAAGCTACTCTCAGAGCTGAAAGTGGCTGCAGGGTATGCAAAGTTATGATGGTGCTTCGAGTGACACTTTCAATTTGACAATTTTGTTTTTGGTGAACTACACTTCACTGTTTTCTGAATAACCTCCTACATGTCCACTAGGAGTTTTTAGGATATATATAATTCAGACTTTGTCACTGGTTTCATTCATGAAAAGAGATCAATGATACCTTTGCTCAAGCTAATAAAAGCAGAGCGTTGGCTTGTGTTAGTTTACCTGTTTCCTAGAATTCTGCTAAGTGGGGCTGCAGCAGTGACGCTTCCATAGAAATAGAAAGTGGGGGGCTAGCTGGTGTGCACCTCCTCCTATGACATCAACTAGTGGGAAGGGCTACATGTTTGACGGTGTATTATTGCAGCTATAAGCTAGAGAATGCAGGTGAAACAGAATATATCACAATATATATAAGGACCAGTGGCGTACTAAGGGGGGGGCAGCGGTCCGCCCCGGGTGCCACCAGTTAGCGTGTGTCTCCAGGGCTGGCCAGGCTTGTGACTCTGTGAGCTGTGTGGCTGCAGAGGGTGCCGGGAGCCACACAGCTCACACATGCAGGGGCTGGGAATTCAGCAGTACAGAAGTACTGCACTGAGAATTGGGGCGGAGCCAACTCGGACGTTGAGGTGCAGCCAAACCAGATGCGGGGGCGGAGATACAGACAGCCTCCATTTGCTGCCTTTCACTGCAGCACACTGAGGGGAAGCAGGAAGGAGTCCCTGCTTCCCCAACTCCAACACACCAGGGACTCACTGACTCCACCAGTAAGAGAGAGAGAGTGTGACTGTGTGTGAATGTCTGCCTGTGACTATCTGTGATTGTGTGCGTGAATGTCTGCCTGTGACTGTGTGTGTGAATGTCTGCCTGTGACTATCTGTGACTGTGTGTGTGTGAATGTCTGCCTGTGACTATCTGTGACTGTGTGTGTGAATGTCTGCCTGTGACTAGTGATGTCGCGAACATGAAATTTTCGGTTCGCGAACGCGAACTTCCGCAAATGTTCGCGAACTAGGCGAACCCGGCGAACCGCCATAGACCTTCAATGGGCAGGTGAATTTTAAAACACACAGGGACTCTATCTGGTTGAAGGGGGGGGGGAGGAGACCTACTCTCCTCCCCCCACGGCCCCCACCCCTGGGGGGCCATAAAGATAAATTCCAAAGAACTTTCCCACGCTGTGTAAAATGACACAGAGCACTGTGATTGGATGGCTTGAAATCCATCTAATCACAGTGCTCTGTGTCATTTTACACAGCGTGGGAAAATTCCAAAGAACTTTCCCACGCTGTGTAAAATGACACAGAGCACTGTGATTGGATGGCTTGAAATCCATCAAATCACAGTGCTCTGTGTTATTTTACACAGCGTGGGAAAATGCCAAAGAACTTTCCCACGCTGTGTAAAATGACAAAGAGCACTCTGATTGGCTTAAACCCACCAATCAGAGTGTTCTTAGCCTAATTGCAGGGCGGGGCAAGGCTTTATAAGCCTTCCCCCGCCCTGCGGAGCTCAGTCTGCGCGGAGCCCTCCATGGGTGAACGGTTCGACGGTTATGTTGGTTTTTTATTTGGCCTTTTTTGGGGCTGAAAAATGAAGATTTGAGAAAAAAGAAGACGTCGAATGGTAAGTTTAATTTTATTTTACAGGTTAGTTATTTTATTCCCCCCTCACTATTTTTTAGGGTGAGGAGGGTAGGTAGCGACTTTTTATTTGGGGGGGGTGACTAGAGGCTTGGGGACCCCTAGTCACCTTGGGGGGGGAAATTTACTTAGGGCCCCCACCCAGCCCAGGGTAGGCCGAGTACGCAGGTCCCGGCCATCTTATGGCCCCCACCACGCCCAGGGCTTATGGCGGACAGCAGTCCCCCCTCATCAATATGGCCCCACCGCCAAGCAGGGTGGAATGGGGCAATAGTCCCCCTCATGACACATGGCCCCACCACGCTATTGGGGCCAGAGGGGCAGTAGGTCCCCCTCATTATCAATATGGCCCCCAACGCCGCCAAAGAGGGGTAGCCGTGCTGCAGGCCCCCTCATTAGTCTTTATGGCCCCCACCCGCCGCGCAGGGGTGGGGGCCAGGGGGGGCAGTAGGTCCCCCCCCTCATTATCAATATGGCCCCCAACCACCGCACAGGGGTGGGGGCGGGGGGGACAATAGGTCCCCCCCTTATTTTTCATTTTAGGGCCCCTACCCACCGCTCAGGGGTGGGGGCCGGGGGGAGGACAATAGGTCCCCCCCTATTAGTATTTAGGGCCCCCACCGGGGGGGGACCCTTTTTTTTTTAAACAGTGAGCAGCCACAGGCTGCTCACTGTTTAATAAACATGCCCCTACTCGCGGTATTGCGAGTAGGGGCACAATTTACTAATACTAAGTAATTTTTACTTAGTATTAGTTAATTAATAGGGGGCGGACCAACATCTATATGTCGCCAAACATTCGGGGAACCTTTAGGGACATCACACCGACTATCTGTGACTGTGTGTGTGAATCTCTGTGACTGTGTGTGTGAATGTCTGCCGGTGACTGTGTGTGTGAATGTCTGCCTGTGACTATCTGTGACTGTGTGTGTGAATGTCTGCCTGTGACTGTGTGTGTGAATGTCTGCCTGTGACTATCTGTGACTGTGTGTGTGAATGTCTGCCTGTGACTACCTGTGACTGTGTGTGTGAATGTCTGCCTGTGACTATCTGTGCCTGTGTCTGAATGTCTGCCTGTGCCTGTGTGTGTAAATGTCTGCCTGTGGCTGTCTACCTGTGACTGTGTGTGTGAATGTCTGCCTGTGACTGTGTGTGTGAATGTCTGCCTGTGACTATCTGTGACTGTGTGTGTGAATGTCTGCCTGTGACTGTGTGTGTCAATGTCTGCCTGTGACTATCTGTGACCTTGTGTGTGAATGTCTGCCTGTGACTATTTGTGACTGTGTGTGTGAATGTCTGCCTGTGACTATCTGTGACTGTGTGTGTGAATGTCTGCCTGTGACTATCTGTGACTGTGTGTGTGAATGTCTGCCTGTGACTATCTGTGCCTGTGTGTGTGAATGTCTGCCTGTGGCTGTCTACCTGTGACTGCGTCTGTGACTGTCTGCCTGTGCTTGTGTGTGTAAATGTCTGCCTGTGGCTGTCTACCTGTGATTGCGTCTGTGACTGTTTGCCTGTGCCTGTGTGTGTAAATGTCTGCCTGTGGCTGTCTACCTGTGACTGCGTCTGTAAATGTTTGCCTGTGTGTGTAAATGTCTGCCTGTGACTGTCTACCTGTGACTGTGTCTGTGACTCTCTGCCTGTGACTGTGTGTTTGTCTGCCTGTGACTGCGTCTATGACTGTCTCCCTGTAAATGTCTGTGACTGTGTGTGAATGTCTGCCTGTGACTGTCTACCTGGGACTGCATCTGTGACTGTCTGACTGTGACAGTCTATGCCTGTGAATGTCTGCCTGTGAATGTCTGCCTGTGACAGTTTACCTGGGACTGAGTGTGACTGTCTTCCTGTGACTGTGCGTGAGACTGACTTTTGGTGACTGTGTGTGTGACTGTCTGCCTGTGCCTGTATGTATGAATGTCTGCCTGTGACTGTCTACCTGTGACTGTGTATGACTGTCTGCCTGTGACTGTGTGCTGCCTGTAATTGTGTGTGTGTGTGTGTGACTGTCTGCCTGTAGCTGTGTGTGTGTGACTGTCTGTAACTGTGTGTGTTACTGTCTACCTGCAGCTGTGCGTTTGACAGTGTGCAAGTGACTATGTGTTTGGTACGGTGTGCATGTGGCTGTATATGCGTATAACTGTGTACATCTAACTGTATATGACTGTCTTCGCCCTGCAGTGAGTCGGCACATAACATCATCCAAGCATCGGCGTCATATTACAGGATGTGCAAGGGACGTGTGCATGAAGAGCACAGAGATCCCAGCAGAAACCACTGACTACCAGGGACTGAGGATCCACTCTAGCCCTCCCAGAGCAAGGTAGGGAGGCTGGGTGGACCTCTTAATTATTAAATGTGTGCATGTATGTGATGTTTGCGTGTGTAAACAAAGATTGACGTTAAGAGGTGTCAGCTAGCCCACGAACAAGAAATCTGGGTGGCTAATGTGAATTATATGCAAATTTGTTGACTGATGCCAATGTGCACTGCATGCTGGCATCAGGCAGCCAATGGCAGCACATTATCCCATCCCCTAGTGAAAAGTTTTAGTGCCCCCCCAGTTTGGATTGTGGTATCTTATGTGCCCACCCCCTATATATTGTTCCTATGTGTCTATGTATCTGCATGTGTGTCAATGTGTATTTAGGTGTGTGTATGTGTATATGTGCATACATCTCAGAATCTCGCCAACACCACACACAAATACACCCCTGCATTTCAATGTCAACACTACATACAAACTCCACCATTATATATAACCACCCCACTGCCTTCAAACACCACACTACATAAAAATGCATGCCTGCATTCAAACGCCAACACCACATACAGACACACATCCTACATTCACTCAAACATACTCCATACAAAAACATGCTTACATTTAAAAGCATAAACACTGCTTAGTGCTAAATACATTTTTTTTTTTTTAAATTGTGGTTGTTTTTTACATTTTAAAGTTGGGGTTTGGAGGGGGGGGCAAAAATAGGACCGCCCCAGGTAATGCTCTAGGTACGCCCCTGATTAGGACATAGGGGGTTATAGTGTTAACAGTGTGTCTTGAAAGCAAACCTGTGGCTTGGGGGGCATTCCCTTAATGAAATGAAGGCAATCATTTCTCATGAAGAGCCAAGGCTATGCTTGAATAAAATCCTCCCTTTAGTGCTGGGCATGTAAATACAGTCACAATTCACATAAATTGTAGTTTTTTTTAAATGCACAGCAATAAAGGGAGGATTTTTTTTCAATAGCGATGGCTATTCAGGAAAAATTATTGCCTGATGATTTTGCATGCGCTGGTGCGGAAAAAGCCATCCCAATCAGTTCTGAAGCATTGTATGGGACTCAAGCATTATGTTACAATGTCGCAATAGCAATATTGTGTCCATCACCATCTTTGGAAGATATGAGTAAGTGGCGTCTATGGGTACAGACCGAGGCTTCCTATTCTTTAAAGGGGAAATCTAACATAGGAAACGTGTGTTTCTAACAATAGCATTTCATCATGCCAGTTTTAGAATTACAGGTCTTACTGGAAGAGTACGATAAAGAGGTTTTGCTTTCAGTGCCATACTGAGCCAGTTTCACCATGTCCACCACTTCGCCCCAGGCTGAGGTCATCATTACTGATCATCTCGGCCAATCCAATGTTTCTTCGTAAAGAAGCATTAGGGATCCCACTGTCCATGTGCACGAATTGCAGGAACCACCTCTAGTGGCTGTTTGATTGACAGCCACTAGAGGCATCCTTAGGGACACATGTATACACTGACAGTATTCACTAATTAGAGACTGCGGAAGAGGCTATTTACACCAAAATCACTACATTAAGCTGTAGTGGTTCTGGTGCTTAGAGTGTCGTTGTAAGTGTAGTACTCTGAATTTAGCAGCCAGGTAGGAAAAATAAGAGTGAAATCTACTCAATAACAGTTTATTTCTTCATCCTGGCATGTTAAGACCTGCATCACCATTCAAGCATAAGATATAAAGGAGAGGTTTATGAAAGATGCATCAAGACTAGCCATGGATCTTATTGCATGTGTGCTGAGAGATGCAGCTGAGAGACCAAGAGTCACAAGGCAGCTAGAAACACACTTATATTCTGCTTTTATCTTTATCCGAAAAAATAAAAAATAATTGTATTGTTTAGGGAATCTTCTGCAAAAATGTCTTTATGTGTTGTGATATATTCTGATGGAATCTTTGTAAAGCAAAATACCATCTTGTTTGTTTATGACTCTGGGGGCTGTTTCAAGAAAGACAAAATGGTACAGGTGGAACTATGCTTCATTCCATTTCATTTCAGGAGTAGTTGGCAATGATTGGCATCAGCCAGTCACTGTCTCAATCCTTGTAATGAACTGGTATGACTGAAGGCATAAGCACACTTGTAAGAAATGACTTTCTTAGCACATAATCTTTGATCTTTAATTTTTCAGATATAAGTGATATGCTTCTCCAGGACCCAAGAAACAACTCTCTAAGATGGTGGCTGGGCTGGATTAGGACTGCTCATCCTTTGAGGAGCCCTCTTGTGATGCCATCAATGACTTCCCTCTCTTTGGGTTAGAATGGCAAGACTCCAGCAACCAAGAACGACATTAAAGCCCTCTTAAAAGACATCTGCTCTCTGTTTTTTGTTAAGCTTGAGAAAGACCGTGCAGGTTGAAACGTTGTGAGTGGCAGTGGGTTCAATAAATTTGCCTTTTTGTATCTTGGAGTGCCTGGACCGTTTTCTAATTTTACCATATCAAGTGTTTGGTTCCTGGTACTGGGACTGGCCTGATTGCACCCAGATACATATTACTGGGGATTGAGTGCATTTGTACACCCTTGTACTGGTCCTCCTCCAGGATTGTCACACTTGTAGAGGAACTGAGGAGCATGCGCAGCGAGTGTCATGCATGCATTAGAGCTTACCCATAGGAAAGTATTGATCAATGCTTTCCTATGGGGATTTTGAAGACACTGCACATCCTGAGGCAGACACTAGAGGCTGTCTAAACCCTGCAATGAAAACATAACTGTGTCTCTGAAACTGCAGTGTGATCACTTGTAGCATTAAAGGACCACTATAGTGCCAGGAAAACATACTCGTTTTCCTGGCACTAGAGTGCTCTGAGGGTGACCCCACCCTCAGGAACCCGCTCCCGCCGGGCTCTGGGGAGAGGAAGGGGTTAAAATCTTACCTTTCTCCAGCGCCGGGCGGGGAGCTCTCCTCCTCCTCTTCGGCTGAATGCGCATGCGCGGCAGGAGCTGTGCGCGCATTCAGCCAATCATAGGAAAGCATTCATATTGCTTTCCTATGGACGCTTGCGTCTTCTCACTGTGATTTTCACAGTGAGAAGCACGCAAACGCCTCTAGCGGCTGTCAATGAGACAGCCACTAGAGGCTTTAGAGGCTGGGTTAATTTATTCTCTGAAACTGCTATGTTTATAAAAAAATGGGTTAACCCTTGCTGGACCAGGCACCCAGACCACTTCATTAAGTTGAAGTGGTCTGGGTGCCTAGAGTGGTCCTTTAAGGGGACATGGTCGCTTCACCCATCTTCAATGAGATGAAGTGGTCTGAGTGCCTATAGTGTCCCTTTTAACAGACAGGCGCTGACTAGCGCTGTACTGGAGAATGCTACCAAAGCAGTACCTATTTCAGACATTTAGCAATTCTGATTGGAAGTGAACCTGTAAAGGAAAAATTACTATGCCTAAGTCAACTTCAAATTCTTTGAATACCTCATATATCATAGGGATACATGATGCATTGAATGCAAAATAATGAGATTTACCCACCTTACCGTGTCATTTTCTCATCTTTGTGAGTGTTACTCTTCACTTAAAACCCACCTCTGGTCCGCCCTTGCTCCTCCATGGACTTCTCAGATTTGCCCTGCATGGGAACACTGCCCCAGGGAGGGCAAATCTTCTCCATGTCGATGGCACACTGACCTCGTTGCCAGTGTCTGAACGGAATTATGTCATTTACTGTGTTCCTATACTCCCGAGTCCGTGATAGTGCCGGCTAGTGAGCTGCCACCGCCGAGCAGGACTGCCTGTGGGTGGCCTCTCCTGCTCTCATTGATCAATGACTTCTTCTATGGCAAAGAATTGATTAAAAGGCGAGAGACAAACCCATCTGAATAGGTTTCCCTCCCCAAACTATAGAGTTGCTAGCACAACGTAGAGACAAAATGTGCGTAAGTACAACATACCGGTGCAGGTATCCTTTAAATTTACAGCAATTTTTTTTTTTTTTTTTTATAAAACGTAAAAAGTAAAACTTATACCTTTAGATTGTAAGCTCACGGGCCCTCTACCTTTTGTATTGGTCTGTTTATACTGTATTGTCTTTTTTCAAAATTGTACAGCGCTGCGGAATATGTTGTCGCTTTATAAATTCCGGTAATAAAAATAAAATGAATTTAAAACTCCAGTCTATTATAACCCTAACGTAAGACAGCCCGCTACGTGCCCAGTTTGGCTATTTTGGCTTTGAACTAAAAAATATTCGCTTTGAATTCCCCACAATTTCAACTTTACAGAATAAACCCATGAATTATTAGTATTAATAATAATAATAATAAATATCCTCTAATAGTATGGCTGGCTGGGATCAGGTACATAAAGGGTTACTGGCAGGGGGGCGGGGCCAGCGCGTTGTAGTTGTGCATCACGTGACTCTTGGAACACGGCCGTAGTACGAGCTTGGAAGAGGGAGGTGATGAGGAGGAGAAAAAAAAAAAAATCAGAGCACTGGACAGGTGCGTGCGCGCGCACGCTAGGTGGGAGGGGGCGGTCCTTGCAGGCGCGCTCCCGCCGTTGTGTGTGTGTGTGTGTGTGTGTGATGCGGCTGCGGGAGCGCGGGCGGCGGGAGCGCGCAGTGTACTCAGAGATCGGTAGTCCGCGCTCTGCGGTCGGTGTGCAGGGAGCTCGTTGTGTGTAGGAGCTCGGGGCCGTGTCTGTCTGTCTGTCCCACGCGGGATGCCGGGAAGCCGGGCTCGGTGAGAAGGCGCGGGATGTCGGCTCGGGGCCCCCCGGGGTCGGTGGTCCGGGCGCTGCTTGCCGTCTCCATCATCCTGGGGATCGGGAGAGAGCCGGCCGGAGCCGCCAGAGCCGCAGCAGGTGAGGGGCCGGACTGGCAACAGGAAGGGCCACACTGGACAGGGCATGGGAGAGAGGGGCCACCCTGGACAGGGCATGGGAGAGAGGGGCCACACTGGACAGGGCATGGGAGAGAGGGGCCACACTGGACAGGGCATGGGAGAGAGAGGGGCCACACTGGACAGGGCATGGGAGAGAGGGGCCACACTGGACAGGCATGGGAGACAGGGGCCACACTGGACACAGGCATGGGGAGAGGGGCCACACTGGACAGGGCATGGGAGAGAGAGGCCACACTGGACAGGGCATGGGAGAGAGAGGCCACACTGGACAGGGCATGGGAGAGGGGGGCCACCCTGGACAGGGCATGGGAGAGGGGGGCCACACTGGACAGGGCATGGGAGAGGGGGGCCACACTGGACAGGGCATGGGAGAGGGGGGCCACACTGGACAGGGAATGGGAGAGGGGGGCCACACTGGACAGGGCATGGGAGAGAGGGGCCACACTGGACAGGGCATAGGAGAGAGGGGCCACACTGGACAGGGCATGGGAGAGAGAGGCCACACTGGACAGGGCATGGGAGAGAGAGGCCACACTGGACAGGGCATGGGAGAGGGGGGCCACCCTGGACAGGGCATGGGAGAGGGGGGCCACACTGGACAGGGCATGGGAGAGGGGGGCCACACTGGACAGGGCATGGGAGAGGGGGGCCACACTGGACAGAGCATGGGAGAGGGGGGCCACACTGGACAGAGCATGGGAGAGAGAGGGGCCACACTGGACAGAGCATGGGAGAGAGGGGCCACACTGGACAGGGCACGGGAGAGGGGGGCCACACTGGACAGGGCATGGGGAGCAATGAGTGCAGTGATTACTCAGATGCTGACTGGGTGAAGGGGGGGGCAGTGAGTGATTGCTCAGATGCTGACTGGGTGAAGGGGGCAGTGAGTGATTGCTCAGATACCGAGTGGGAGCAGAGGCAGTGAGTGATTACTCAGATACAGTGAGTACACGCTCAGATATTGACTGAAAGGAGCAGTGAGTGATTGCTCAGGGCAGGTAGTGAGAGAAGGGGCATTTACTGAGAAAATGGGCAGTGAATGATCAGAGCACTGACTGGGAGAAGGGTTCGTGAATACTAGTAACTACTCAGAGCCCCCTGGAGAAGGAGCTGTGAATGTTGGTGACTGCTCAGTACAGTGACTGGGGTGGAAGGAATGGGCAATGAGTGTAAGTGCTCAGGACATTGACTGGAGTGGAAGGAATGGGCACTAAGGGCTTGGGACAGTGACTGGGATGGATGGAATGGGTAGTGAGTTTTCAGAACATGAGGATGGATGAAATCGTAGAAGGGGCAGTGAGTGCTCAGGACAGTGACTGGGGTGGAAGAATGAGGAGAAGGGTCACTATGGAACACAGTAGGATATGACCCAACATGTAGGTTAGAGAGTCAGCCTGGGAAATGTTTAACACAGAACATATGGGATTATATGCCTCTGCCCTGGTTAATGCGGGGTCGTATTATTTTAATTGCAGTGTTATTTTTGGTTACTTGTATAACTAGAGCAATGTTTTTGGTCTATATCCCGTTAGTGATGGAGGTGTCGGGTATCATATTATAAATTTGGACCACTCGGCTTTGTGACTCGTACTGGGCCTCATCTTTGGGTTTATTGAATCAATGCATGTTTATCAAGTCAGATTGAAGACACTTTACTATAACTTACTGCAAATTAACAGGTGCTAATGGTATCCGTCTTTTGGGGTATAATCATAATGTTGGCGTCCACGTTCTTTCAATAACATGTTAAATGACCAGTTTGGATTTAATTTGCTCTGGGCAAAATCTTTGTATTTGAGAGGTGACCAATGCCCTTAGGATGATTTCTGTAATCAAATTGAAATTGCTCTGTTCTTATGAATTTTTTATTTTTCTTCTCGCAATCTTCAGACATGTCCTCCTGGATGCAGGTTTTCTGGGGGACTTACAAATGACTTTTGTAACTTGTTGTCTATAATATCTGACATGCTGCCTGGGCGGATGATGGTCAGGAAGGCACTGCAACTATTAAGATGTTCTTCTATACATCCTTTTACATTACAACTCTGCTTTATACAATTTCTCAAGTACAGTGCATTTCAAGAGCACAGCCTTCAGTATAGAAGTTGTAATTTGAAAGCCTATTTATCCTTATAGATTGTATTTATACAGCACTGCAAACTGATTGTATATATGTAAATATAGTTAAACACACATGTATGTTCTGCATGGCCATATGGTCTTTGGGTTTGCTATATATTATTGAATAATATTGAAACGTCTATCTTGCACCTGAATCAAAATGTTCGATTGCATTCTTTATTTGATGTTAAATAGCAAAGGAAGCACAAACTCAAATATGTATTAACTTGATGGTTTAGACTAGACTATTATTTTTATTTGTAATGCAGAACTGAATTGCGGCATAATATGCATTTAAGTGTGGATTTACATTGTTTCAAACACAACTTCCTTTTTTGTACGTTTTATGTCAAGGAAGGGACAGTATTTGTCTCCATTACATTCCGTCATTCAGATGGCAACTGATTTAAAGCACTGATGTGTAAATATATT